TACAGACACCTCGATGCAGCCTTCAGCATTTCGCTGAAAGCAGCAGGGGGGACTGTGCTGCTGCTGCTGCAGATGCAGCAGCAGCAGCAGCAGCAGTAGCAGCAGCAGCAGCAGGCGGGTTCATCTTGCTATGCTGCTGCTGCTGTTGCTGCTGCTGAGTGTATTGTGCAGAGGGGTTTTACAAACCGACTGTATGGAAGTGCTTTCTATACCACTTTGCTGCTGTTGCTGTTGTCGCTGCTGCTGTTGCTGCTGCTGCTGCTGCTGCTGCTGCTGCTATTGCTGTTGTCGCTGCTGCTGTTGCTGTTGCGGCTGCTGCTGCTGCTGCTGTTGTTGCTGCTCTTGCTGCTGCTGGTGTTGTTCTTGCTGCTGGAAGCGACTCTATAGCGTGATAAGGTACAAACGCAGCAGCAGCAGCTGCAGCAGCAGCTGCAGCAGCAGCAGCAGCAGCAACAGTCAATAGCAGCATCAGCTCGTTGCTACTGAAAAGAGAGGCGTTTGTTGTAGCTCCCTTAGCACCTCACTACCCAGTTTGCTGCAGCAGCAGCAGCAGCAGCAGCAGCGGCAGCAGCAGCGGCAGCAGCAGCAGCAGCAGCAGCAGCAGCAGNGCAGCAGCAGCAGCAGCAGCAGCAGCGGCAGCAGCAGCGGCAGCAGCAGCAGCAGCAGCAGCAGCAGCAGGGTAGCAGCGCAGCAGCAGCAGCAGGCAGGGGCAGGTGATAAGAAAGGCAGACGGCGAAGCAGCTTGAAATACTCGTTGCATGCGTTTTGTGTTTTAATAAATAAAAATAAAATAAAAATTATTTTTGTTTTATTTAGTAAGACACAAAACGCCAAGCTGAACATACACCTGAATATCACTAGGGTGCGCATACACCCGAAAACCCTAAACCCTAAACACCCTAAACCCTAAACCCTAAACCCTAAACCCTACTTTCTATCGAGCTAGCTAGCTCGATAGACAGCTGGCTAGCTAGCTAGCTAGCTACACACTGTCTCAGCAGCTCTGTACAGCTGCGGTGTATAGGCAGCTCGTCTTTGGCTTTTCAGCCCTCAAAGCAACAAAGTCCTGCTCTCAACGGAACAGATAATTCAAACGATCCCTCCATAGCTAGCTAGCTAGCTAGCTAGCTGGCTAGCTAGCTATGCTGGCTAGCTAGCTAGCTGGCTAGCTAGCTAGCTATGCTGTTAGCTAGGCAGTTCGCTAGCTGGTTTGCTAGCTAGCTCCATAGACAGTTGGATACCTAGCTAGCTACACAGATAGCCAGATAGAAAGCTGGCTAGCTGGCTAGCTAACCAAATAGGTAGCTAGGCTGGTGGCTAGCTAGCTAGCTAGCTAGCTAGCTAGCTAGCCGTGGCAGCCTGCAACAGCGTGCGAGACAGATCCAGCGGTTTGCTGCGCACCCCAGGGAGCAGCTAGCTAGCGAGCTGGGTGTGGCTAGCTGCAGTCAGCTAGCTAACACAGCTAGCCAGCTTCCTAACTCGTTAGCTAGCTAGCTGGCTAGCTAGCTAGCTGGCTAGCTAGCTAGCTAGCTAGGCGGCGCCCGGCCGTACACTGCGTCTTGCAGCCTTTGCTCTGTTTCTGTTCGCCCCGAAGTGGGTGCTGCTGCTTGTTTTTACTTTTGCTGCTGGTTCTGCTGCTGCTTCTGCTGTCCCTGCAGCAGCAGCAGCAGCAGCAGCTGCTGCTGCTGCTTCTACTGCTGCTGCTGCTGCACCAACCAGACGAGGCGGGGCTCGAACCCCAGAAGGAGCAGACACAGCAGCAGCAACCGGAGTAGGCGGAGACAGCAGGTCAAGCAGCTGCAGCACATCTCCTTTTTGTTGTGCTGCTGCTATCTGCAGCAGCATGCGTTGCTGCGGCTGGAGTCCTGCTGCTGCTGCTGCTGCTGCTGCTTCTCTCTCAGCAGCCTGCTGCTCCGCCCAGTCCCGCTGCTGCAGCGCAGCAGCTAGCCGCAGCAGATCCGATGCTGCTGCTCTGCAGCGCAGCAGCAGCAGCAGCAAAGGACCCTGCTGCAGCAGCAGCCGCTGCTGCTCCGTGCATACAAACAGCAGCTGTTGTGCTGCTTCTTCTGCTGCTAGTACTGATGGGGGGAGAGCAGCTGTAGGCAGCACCTGCAGCAGCAGCTGCTGCTGCTGCGGTCGCATCAGCTGCAGCGCCCCATACTGCTGCTGCTGCTGCTGCTGCTGAGAAGGGCACTGCTGCTGCTGCTGCTGCTGCAGCTGCGGGAACGGCTGCAGCTGCTCCTGAGCTGCAGCAGCAAGCAGCTCTTGAAAGGGGTGCAGCAGCAGCAGAGGCGGTGCATGCAGAGCAGCAGGTGCTGCTCCTTCTTGCTGTGCTGCAGCACAGCTGCTGCAGATGCTGCTGCTGCTGCTGCTGCTCACCCAGTAAGGACCCAGAGGTGTATGTACACCCCGTGCGGTGCTGCTGCTAGACAGAGACACAATAGCAGCAGGATAAACAGCAGCAGTACGCACAAGCAGCTGAACATACCACAGAACAGCAGCGCAGCAGCAGCAACAACTACCTTGCTGCTGCTGCTGCTGCTGCAGCAGCTGCTGCTGCTGCTGCTGTTGCTGCTGCTGCTGCTGCGCTGATTCGCGAAATATCCACGCCCAGGGGCAGCAGCAGGAGCTAGAGCTCCGGCCGTTATATAAAGGCTTCATGCAGCACCAGCAGCAGCCTCTGCTGCTGTTGCTGCTGCTGCTGTTGCTGCTGCTGCTGCTGCTGCTGCTGCTGCTGTCAGCCTTGACAAGTGCTGTCTCCAGTTTGGTTCGGGCGTCATCTCCGCTGCCGGCGGTGCTGCTGCTGCAGTTGTCGTAGTTTCTGCTGCTGCTGCTGCAGCTGCTGCTGCTGCTGCTGCTGCATGCAGCAGCAATTGCTGTTGCTGCTGCTGGTAGCGAGAGGCCCAGCAGCAAATGAAAGGAAGCAACAACAGGCCAAGAAGAAGAAACCCCGAGGGGAGGGACAGAGGTAATAGGCAGCATGCTGCATGTAGGAAGCCCGCTGCTGCTGCTGCTGCTGCTGCTGCTGCTGCTGCTGCTGCTGCTGCTGGTGGGGCTGTCTGCCCCAGACAGCTGCAGCAAACTCTCCTCGATGCCGCAGATAGCTGGCGTCTCTCTTGCTGTTGCTGCAGCAGGAAGCAGCAGCGTCCGCAGCAGCTGCCAGCATATCTTCTCTGCGTGCTGTCGTGTTGCAGCAGCAGCAGCTGCTGCTGCTGCTGCTGTTGCTGCTGCTGCTGCTGCAGTCTGAGTATCCAGATGATGCTCCTCGTTGCTGCTGTCTGCATGCGCAGCATCCTGTCTGCTGCCGTGTTGCTCATCTTCCTGCTTCTGCTGCCACTGCTGCTGCTGCTGCTGCTGCTGCTGCTGCTGCAGCGCAACACGCACAGCTAGTGTGTGCCCGCAGCAGGGAGAGATTTTGCTGCTGCTGCAGCAGCAAGCCCCGCCCCACAGCAGCGCTGCTGCCCAGTGCAGCAGCAGCTCAGCACAGGTGGCTCTTCGTTGACTTTTAGAAGCAAGTTGCTGCCGCAGACGCTGCTGCTGCTGCTGCTGTTGCTGCAGCTGCTGCAGCTGCTGCTGCAGCTGCTGCGGAGGCACCTTTTGCTGCACTGGTGCTGCTGCTGCTGCTGCTGCTGCTGCTGCTGCTGCTGCTGTTGTCGCTTCTGATGGTTCCTCCTTTACTCCCGCCTGCTGTGCAGCAGCACCAGCACCAGCTGCTGCTGCTGTTGTGCTGCTGCTGCTGCTGCATTCGTCAGCTGCAGCAGCAAGGGGCCCGCCCCTGTTGCAGGCAGCAGCAGCAGCTCGGATGCCTAGCTGCCTAGCCGCATGCACCTGCAGCAGCAGCAGCAGCGAGTACTCGCAGGGCTGCAGCAGCAAACGTGTTGCTGCTGCAGCACAGGAACGCAGCAGCTGCTGAAACTTCTCCTGCAGCATTTCCTTCTCTGCTGCTGGCAGCTCCTCGAGCTCTATGTTCAGATCTGCTGCAGCTGCTGCTGCTGCTGCTGCTGCTGCTGCTGTTGCTGCTGCTGCTGCTGCTGCGGCGGTGCTCCCGCTGCGCAGATCGTGAAGGTGCAGGCGCTTCGGCTGCTGCTGCTGCTGTTGCTGCTGCTGCGGGAGGAGGCGCCGCATGCGGAATGCAGCAACAAGAGGCTGGCTGCTGCTGCTGCTGCTGCTGCTGCTGCTGTCTGCTGGCAGCAACTCCCCACGGGATACCCTCGCGAGGCCCAGCAGAAACTGCAGAGCCGACAGCAGCAACGCATGCGGCCATGCATCTGCTGCAGTTGTTTTTGCTGCTGTTCCTGCTGCTGCTGTGGCATCTGCTGCTGCTGCTGCAGCCCCTGTTGCTGCTCCAGCCCCTGTTGCTGCTGCTGCTGCTGCTGCTGCGGTGTCCTCCTTGTTCAACAGCGCTGCTGCTGCAGGGACAACATGCTGCAGCGTCAGCAGCAGCAGCTGCTGGAGACGCTGCTGCGTTTGCTGCTGCTGCAGCAGCAGCAAGCAGGGCAGCGGCAGCGAGAAGCAGGTAGAGAGACAGTCGTACATAGACCGCAGCAGCAGCTGCTGCTCCGATAGGAATTTCATCACTGCAGCAGCAACATCTGTCTCTCCCCCCATATAAGTTGCTGCTATTGCTGCTGCTGCTGCTGCTGAGCTGCTGATGTTGCTGCTGCTGCTCCCTCCAACAGCAGCAGCAGCAGCAGCAGCAGCAGCAGCAGCAGATCTCTTAGCTTGACGGCGGCGGTCAGCAGCTGTCTCCTGAGGCAGCATATCCTGGGGGGAGCGAGCCAGCAGGTGCTGCAGCAGCAGCAGCAGCAGCTGCAGCAGCGCAGACAAGGCCTCCTCGGCGTGCTGCTGCGAGGGGGCCAGACACCGCAGCAGCGGCAGCAGCACGCGGTCTATCCATTTGTGTAAATCCTGCTGCAGCAGACTACAGCATTTGTTTTCATCTCCGTTGCTGCTGCTGCTGCTGCTGTTGCTGCTGCTGCTGCTGTTGCTGCTGCTGCTGCTGCGGCTCGAGGCCGGGGAGCCGCTCCGCTGCTTCTGTTGGTTGCAGCTGCACAGAGGCGACAGCAGCAGCAGCAGCAGCAGCAGCAAGTCTCTGGCCTCCTGCATGCTTTGAGGGTTTAGGGGTGCTGCTGCACACACAGCAGCACTACACTCCTCCAGCAGCGCCAGAACTAACGCAGACCCCTCACTGCTGCTGCTACTGCTGCTGCTGCTGCTGCTGCTTGTCTTGGTGTTGGATGCAAGGTGGAGCAGCAGCAACTGCTGCAGCGTTGCCTTCTCCTTCTGCAGTGCTGCAGTCAGGCCCCGCAGGGATAGCGCATCGAGTGGTTGCAGCTGTTGCTGCTGCTGCTGTTGCTGCTGCTGCTGTTGCTGCTGCTGTTGCTCCTGCTGCTGCTGTTGCTGCTGCTGCTGCTGCTGCAGGTGCGGAGGCAGGCAGCAAGAGAAGGCCGTCACCATAAGGAACTGCCGCAGCGCCACCGCCTTGTGTTGTCGATACACCTCAGCATCAGCAGCAGCAGCAGCTGCTGCTGCAGCAGCAGCAGCAGCAGCAGCGGGAGCAGCAGCAGCAGCAGCAGGCTGATCCTCTTGTATGAGGCATCGAAGGAAGTTCTGCTGCAGTATGTCTTTACAGCAGCAACTGAGCTGCTCTTCTGTTGCTGCAGCAACTTGTGAAGCCTCGCGTATAACACTTGCTGCTGCTGCTGCTGTTGTTGCTGCTGCTGCTGCAGGTGTTGTTGCTGTTGCTGCTGCTGTATTTGGGGGGGACCCAAGCTGCTGCAGCTGCTGCTGCAGCAGCTGCAGCAACCTGAATATGTGACACAGAAGCGATAGATAAGCCCGCAGCAAAGACAAGCCGCAGCAGCCAGAGGGGAGAGAAGCAGCAGCAGGAGAGAGCTGGGGGAGGCCTCGCAGCAGCAGCAGCAGCAGCCGTGCATGCTGATCGAGTACTGCTGCTGTTGCTGCTGCTGCTGTTGCTGCTGCTGCTGCATCCATACATGGCCTCTCTGCTGCAGCAATCTGCTGCTGCAGATACACCTCAGCAGACAGCAGCAGCTGCAGCAGGGCAACAGACAGCCGCCGAAACAGCGCCATACCCAACTGCGGCTGCTGCTGCTGCTGCTGCTGCTGCTGCTCTTCCTTGCTGCTGCTGCTGCAGCAGCAACAGCTGCTGCTGCTGCTAAGACCGAGAGCCTCCGCAAGCTCAGCTGTCCATCCTGCAACCAGCTCAAGCCGACGGAACAAGTGCTCCCCTTCTGCTACTGCTGCTGCTGCTGCTGNCTGCTGCTGCTGCTGCTGGCCTTGCAGGTACAGGCGACACCACGAGAGCAGCAGCAAACGAAGCACGGGCAGCCCAAGCAGCAGCAGTTCCTGGAAAGATTCTGCATTCGGTGCATGCTTGCTGCTGCTGCTGCTGCTGCTGCTGGTGCTGCTGCTGCTGCTGCTGCTGTGGCTGCTGCTGCTGCAGCAGCAACAGCTGGACTGCTGCTTCTTGCAGCAGCGGGGGAGTTTGCTGCTTAGCTTCAGGGTTGCCCAGGAGCTGCAGCAGCAGCCACAATGTTGCTTCTGCCTCATGCATTCTCGCCGATTCTGCTGCTGCTGTTGCTGCTGCTGCTGCTGCTGCATGCGGATGGGCCATCTGCTGCAGCAGCTCCCCCTGCGGGTGGAGGAACCGCTGCAGCAGCGGCAGCAGCTGCTGCAGCAGCGGCTGCACCCCAACAGCAGCAGCAAGCTGTAGCAGCAGCGTATCGCATAAAGGCCTTATGGAGACCAGCACATCCACGTTGCTGCTGCTGCTGCTGCTGCTGCTGCTGTTGCTGCTGCTGCTGTTGCTGTTGCTGCTCTCGTCTTCGCAGGTGCTTCTGCCGGTGTTGCCTTTGATGCTGCTGCTGCTGCCGCTGCTGCTGCTGCTGCTGCTGCTGCTGCTGCATAGACACTGCGGGCGACCCAGCGAAGCAGAAGCAGCAAAAGACTGCAGCAGCACTTCTACCCGCGGCAGCAGCAGCGACTCAAGGCCTTCAGCTGCAGCAGCAAGTGTTCTTTCTAGCTGTATTGTTGCTGCTGCTGCTGCTGCTGCTGCAGGGGCAGAATCGCGCTGCTGCTGCTGCTGCTGCTGCTGCTGCAGCTGCTGCTGGAGGGCCCCACGCTCCCTGCGTACTGCAGCAAGCAGCTGCAGCACAGGCCGCAGCAGCAGCAGCAAACCACGCAGTGCAGCAACACGAACGAGTCTGTCTCTCCCTGTTATATATGCGCAGCTCAGGAGGATGCATGCGCCGAAGAAACGAGGCACAATAGACTGCGGCTGCTGCTGCGGCTGCTGCTGCTGCGGCTGTTGCTGCTGCTGCTGCGGCTGTTGCTGCTGCTGCGGCTGTTGAGGGCGTTTTGGGGTTCGCTCCTGCTGCAGAAGCATCTGTTGCTGCTGCTGCTGCTGCTGCTGCTGTTGCTGCTGCTGCTGCTGCTGCTGCGTAGGAGATACGGGTTCTAGCAGCAGAAAAGCAAAAGACTGAGATGAAGCGCTGCGGTGCAGCAGCAGCTCCTTGTCTTGCTGCTGCAGCTGCTGCAGCAGCGGCTCAACAGAGTGCTGCAGCAGCAGCGGCAGCAGCAGCACAGGGCCAACTCGACGCTGCCACATAATAAGATGAAAAGCGCGAGACTGCTGCTGCGGCCGTTGCAGCTGTGCTGCTTCTGTTGCTGCTGC